ATCATCGTCACTCTCATCGTCATGATCATGTTCTCCATCATCACCACCACCATCATCACCACCACCATCATCATCAACATCATCACCATCGTCATATGACTTTCATCATCATCACACGCATCATCGACATCTTCTTCGTCGTTGGCGTAGTCATCGTTATCATCAGCATCATCGCCGTCATCATCCCCGGTCTTCTGCAGTCCCCTCCCCCACCTCCTATTTCCCGTTCTATTCTATCTCTCCCCATCCCTCCGCCTATCGCGGCACACCCTTCGCACGGCTCTATTGGGAGCCGTTTGAGGGCGTCGTGGAAGCGTCTTGGGGACCCTTGGGCCCGTCTTCGGCTCATCTTGGCGGCCTCCAGGTTCAGGCCATCCCGGGTCTTGGGTGCCTCTGGAGCGCTCTTGAAGCTATCCTGGAGGCATCTGAGGGTCCTCATGGAAGCATCTGGAGAATTCGCTCGGATCTCGTGGCAGGTCCCTCGGGGGCTTCCTGGAAGCAGTTCCGAGGCCTCCTGGGGCCCATTCCGGTGTCGGTTCGGGGCCGTTTGGGGGCACCTTGAGGGCCTCGCGGAGGCCTCTTGGGGGCCTCTCGGGAGCCTCTTGGGTCCCCCTGGGGGCCTCCCAGGGGCTCGTGGGGCCCAGGAGGAGGAGGAGGAGGAGGAGGAGGATGAGGAGGAGGAGGAGGAGGAGGAGGAGGAAGAGGAGGAGGAGGAGGAGGAGGAGGAGGGGGAGGAGGGCCTCCTGGGGCCGAGGGCCCGAGAAGTCTGGTCGGATCTCTGGGCCCCTCCCTGAAGATGTCTTGGTGCCCTCTTAGGCCGTATATTGGAGGTCTCTCTGGCCGTCTCGGGGTCCTCTTAGGCCATCTTGGGGCGGCCGTCTTGCCCTGACTTCGGATCCGCCCTACTTTGGGGAAACTCGTAAGTAGGGCTAGGAATTTCCGCCTTACTTTTCAAGCCCCGCTGATGCCAATTTCCGCCCTACTTTTCTGTTGTTGTTTCCGCCCTACTTATGTGGATGTTCGCCCTATTTCATGTTGGGTGCAGAAATGTCCGCCCTACTTTGTCGGCCTCTTATAGGTGGATTTCCGACGCAGTTTTAAGTTGGAACAAAAACCAGAAAGTAGGGCGGATCCGGAGTCAGGGTGGGGCCTCTTCGGCCGTTGTGGTGCGACCTCGGGAGCCTCTTGGGGCCGTCTTGCAGCGTCGGGAGGACGAACATGCGAGAACCCTACAGACCTTCAAAAACCGTCGGACAACCAAGAAGTGTTGTCTCTTTTTGCCCTCTTGGGAAGCTTCTTGGAGGCCTCTTGGAGGGCTCCTGGGCCGTCTTGGGACCATATTGGGCGTCTCGGAACGATCTTTGGCCGTCTCGGGGCCCTCTTTGGACCATCTTGGGAACCTCCTGGGGCCGTCTTGCAGGCCGCTTGGGCGTCTTGCAGCCCCTTGGAGGGAGGGGGTATCAAACAAGGGTGCTGATGCCACGAAGGTGGGCGGGGGCGCTTTTCGGGGGGTGGAGGGGGCACAAGGGGGCAATCCATATATATATATATATATATATATGTGTATATATATACATATATATACATACATACATACATATGTATATATATATTCCTATTGTTATATGTTTATTACCTGGACCCCCCCCCCACCCCCGGACCCCCCCCCCTTAACCGGATCCTTCCCCCAGGGACGCTCCGGACGACCTTTCGGACGTTTCGGCGGCCCCCTGGACGCCCTTGGAAAAGGTTCGGTGGCCCTTCCGGGCCTCCCAGGGCGCCTCGCTGGGCCTTGCGAGCCGACTGAAGGCGATTAGAGGGGTCGTCGGAGAGGCGCAAGAGAGACCCAAGACAGCGCAAGAGCGCTCCAAGAGGAACATCGATGGTCTGAAGACGGCCCAAGAGGCCCCCAAGACACCCCAAGAGGCCGTTAAGAGAACCCCGAAGAAACCAAAATCGTCACATTCCCTCAAGGAATACATTTGTTGTGCATATCCGCTTTTTGGGTCTTCGCAGCGTCCAAGACGGCCCAATGGGCCCCCAATCTCGCCCCAAGACGGCCCGGGAGGCCCCCTAGAGGGGTTGAAGGCGGCCCAAGGGGAGAGCCCCGAAACTGCCCACAAGAAGCCCAAGATGCCCCCAGAAAGCTCCCAAGAGAGACCCACGAAAGCCATGGGATACCTCCAAGAACGCCACTGGAGGCCCGCAAGAGGGCCCTAGATGGCTTCAGAAGACCTCTGGAGGGCCCCAGCTCCCCAAGGCGGCCCAAGAAGCTCCCAGGACGGCCCAAGAGTGCCCCAGGACCGCACAAAAGAGCACCAAAACCGACCAGACGGCGTTCTCCTACGAAATACATCAAGCTGACCCGACGATCTTGGTTCCACGTTTGAGGCTCGAGGTTTCAGTAGCTACCCGATCGAGAGAGACAGGCAATGGATCTAGATTCGAAATTCGACGATCGAAGATTTCCTGAGTGCCTGGAGCCCTCCAGGCATTCGGGAAGCGATCAAAAATCGATGTGTTCGGAGCTACTGTGACTTCTTCGGCGTGTCATGGGAACGCTCCTTACTTCCTCAAAGGACCTTCGCGCGCGAAAAAAAAACATGATTCCCCCATTCCTGCGCACAAGCGTGCCAACGCATCGTCCGAAAGCGGTGTCAGCAGGCACCCGGGATATCGGAAAAATGGGCGGGTCGCCCGTCCAGGCTTCGAGGTCCTCCCTGCTGAAGAAAACGATGACTTATTGCTTTGCCAGGGAAGCGTCCGGAACAAGGCGCATGGCGCGAAGTGCCAATGCAGCCTTGTATATTTATACATATATACATATATATCTATACATGCACAAACACATACATACATGCACATATATATACACACATAGACACATGTATCGAACTCTGCCCAAGAGCAAGGTTGATACTGAATGATGCTGCGGGGGCTGGTTTTTCGCTTAGTCCTGTGGTCGTGCGGGTAATATGACAGTTCGAACTCACGAGTTTCAGAGGCAGCAGAAACATCAAGAACAATGCGACGGGCAAGGCGGCACAGTCAACACATGTTATGGCTTCATATTCATGTAGAGTGCAGCGCTATGTTCGCACGCCGGCGGATGTCTCCCACGGATCGGCTTCAAGGATTTCGCCTACGATGCTGCCTGCGTCGCGACAAATGCTGATAACGCACGACACCTGCTTTTCTGACCCGGGACCAGCCCCCTGCGCTGACTTCTGCTCCGGCGCCACGCCGCCTCGTCGTGCTCCTGCTCTTCCGCGGCGGCGAGCTCCAGGGTCTCCTCTGCATCCGGCCATCGCTCGGACGCCCTCGCAGAGCCAGGGTGCAGAGGAGCGCATGCGAGACCGGCGAGACTGACAAGCGAACGTCCTGCATTGAACGCCGAGCCTTGCAGAGCCCTAGATTTCGGCCCGTCGCTGCGATACGCAAGTGCTGCAGCATCACGAGCTTGACACCCCCGCTGGCGAATATACCATGCGGCTGGCTTTCAAGTGCGGTATCAGACGCCAAGATTCGGCGGCACGCAAGGGCGACCCTGGGAAAGAGTGACCTCTGCTGCGCAGTGCCAGTCGTTGCGCGCGATGCGACAGTGACGGCCCGCATGCTTGGGCTTACCCCCCTCCCAAGGATCTCCCGACGGTAGAGGGAAACAATTAGTGAACACCCCCCCTGCCCCCCGAACTCAAAGTTGGCACGCGCGGGGGGGACTGCGGTCGAGGTGCAACTCATCAGACCCACCACCAACTTTGAACATTGGGGGGAGGGGGAGGCCTTCACAGATGCATGTGGCATGAGTGTTCACTATGTTTGTCCGAGGCCTGGATCACCGGGCACCAAAGGCCACTCCGGCGAAAGGTCACTCTCGCCCTGGCGTCTGCTCCTTAAGAGCCGATGTGCCCCCCGGCGCAGCTTTGACGTGGACCGGACTTGGAACACGCCTGGAACTGGACTTGGACGGGATCCGCCCCTTCACAAGGAAGATGGAAGGGACGAGGAGGGTGAGGAGGAGCCGAAAAGCGAGGAGGAGGCAGGAAGGGCGGTCCAAAAGCGGCCCAAGCCTTCCATAACCAGACATCGAACCTCACGCGTGGCCAGGAAGATTTGGGACTCCCGAAACGGTGCGGTGACAGACCGTGCGGTGACCTCGAAATCCCCCAAGACCTCACTGCACGCTCCGTCACTGCACGGTCTTGGGACCCCGGAGGCCCCTGTCGCCCCGGACATCCTCGGAGAGGGCCTCGGGTCCCCAAACCGTGCGGTGACCCCGAACCCCCACCGACTCACCGCACGGTGTGGTCACAGTCCCCGCTCGGGGGCCCCCGAAAGATGCTCAGATGCCAGGCCCGGCGTGCATGCGACTGCCCGGGAGGCACGGGGAGAAGCCGCTCTCAAGGGCAAGAGCGGGCGGGAGGCACGGCGCCTCTCCTCCCGCCGAGCAGGGGGCAGAGCACGTGCGCGGAAGGGCAGGCAGAGAGCCTCTTCCGAGCGCCGTGCGGCGCCCGCGTGTCCATTCTTCATATGGGACGCACAGAGACGCACTGATGCTACAGATGTCCTCCTTGGAGGCGCGCGTCTGACCCGAACATACAGCATGCCCATCTCGCAGTAGATCGTTTCCCGAGCGGTGTGGCCAGAAAGCGCCCGCCACGACGCGTATACTGTAAGATTTCTCGGTACGCGCGTCGCCCCTGGAGGGCGACGCGCACATAGTATATGAGTATGTCGGGGTGACGCCGACTTCAGGCAGAGGCGCACCGTGGCGCAGGCGCGCCTGGGCGTGCCTGGGCGTACCTGAGTGTACCAGGGCGCTTCGTTGGCCCCGGAAGCGGCAGGGCCGTTTCCGAAAAAAAGTCCCCTGAAAATGGAAACGGCAAAAAAACGGCGACCGGAAACGGCAACAAAAACGGCTCCAGGATTGGAACCGGAGCGGGAACCCGCAGAAGAACGGCGACGGAGCCAATAAAAAAACGGCGTCGGAACCGGCAACAAAAAAACGGCAAAACGGCACCGGTAAAAAAAACGGCCCTGTCGTTTCCAGGGCCCACTATAAGCCTGGGCGTGCTTTCCGAGGGAGTGGGCTTACTCTGAATCCGTCAATAGTTTTGGGCCCCCGGACTACAATGCCCCCCCAGAGTACAAGGGCCCCCCCAGAGTACAAGGGCCCCCCCCCGGACTACAAGGGCCCCCCCCCCTGGACTGCAAGGACCCCCCCCCCCCCGGACTACAGGGGGCCCCCCCCGGAGTACAAGGACCCCCCCCAGACTACAGCGACCACGCCCAGCACGAGTGCTTCGGGCTGCCACAAAAAGAAAATTGCCACGGTCTGAACGACGAGTAAGTACTGTACTGCACGACGACGACGACGACGACGACGACGACGACGAGGCCCCCACTAGACTCTACCCAGGAAGCCCTAAGAGGCCCCCACGAGGCGCCAAAGAGGCCACAAAAGCTTCCCAAGAGGCCCCAAAACTACCCCCGATGGGGCTTCCGAGAGCGCTCGTCGTCGTCGTCGTCGTCGTCGTCGTCGTCGTCGTCGTCGTCGTCGTCGTCGTCGTCGTCGTCGTCGTCGTCGTCGTCATCGTTCAAGGTCGGCGGCACTGGTCGTAAGGCCTCTCCACAATATCATCATCCCTCGTGCTCCATTCCCTCCCCCCCTCCCTCTCCCAGTGCCCCTCGTCGGGGGTCGGCGCGGCCACGCGCGTAGCCCCCGCCGATCAAGTGCGCCCCTGATGTGCCCAACGAAGTGGTGTCCCGCGCGGACGGTATTGTTTCGTGGCCCTCCCAATGCGCAACTGTGGCCACTTTGGTTTGGCCCTTGGCGCGGGGTGCATATCCGCGGTCGTCGAACGGGGCGTCGCCCCGCGAAGATCAGAGCGTGCCTGCCGCTGGACTACAGGACCCCCCCCCCGGGACTACAAGGGCCCCCCCCCCCCCCCGGACAAGGGCCCCCCCCCTACAAGGGCCCCCCCCCCCGGACTACAGGGCTCCCCCCCCGGACTACAAGGGCCCCCCCCCTGACTACAGGGCCCCCCCCCGGACTATCGGTCACCCCAAAACTATTGAGGTACTGCAGAGTAAAAGGTACCCGTGCACGAGCGCACCTGGGCGGACGCAGGCGCGTCGGCAAGCCAGAGGGGCGCGCCCGGTGGCAGCACGCGAGCGCGGGCGGATGAGGCGGGGGCGGCCGCGGAGGCGGGGAAAGGACGGAGGCGCGACCGCAGAGAGCCCTGCGGGGAGGGGAGCGCGCGGGCGGCCGCCTGGGCGTGCAGTACTGCGCACGCTCGTCCGTCCGGTCGTCCGACGCGGATCCCAGCCGTGGCGACGAGGCGCCCCGAGAAGGCTCAAAACAGGGCGGGCAGCGCCACCGACTGGCGATGTCTCGACTGGCCCGCCTCGATGCCTCGACCGTCTCGACGGGTGTCATTGCGGCCTCGCGGGCGGCTGCTGCGACGACGATGGCACGGCGGACGCGAACCGGCCATTTGGACGTCGAGAACGCCATTACGAAATGCCCCACCCAGACTTGTGAGAGGTCTGCTTTTGGAGTTCCGATGCAGTGCAGCCCTCTCTGAGATCTGCGAGCTGCGACCGACGCCTTCGCAGCCACCCCGGCTCCCAGCAGGGCGGAGCGTGGGCACGCGGCACCACGTGTTCGAGGCACCGGGCGCTCCAGCACTTGCCAGGCTTGCCACAAAACGGGGCCCTTACGACTCCGCGCTCGCTCCTCCAGCCTCGTCTGCAACGTCAGCCTGCAGAATCTCTCTCTTGCCCCATGGCCGCTCGCGACCTCTGCCTCCCAGCTCACGCAACCGGGCCGGGCGGGCGACGGCAGAGCGCGCGCGCGCACAACCGCTCCTGCCGGCGGCTCTTCCTCTCCTTCTTCTCCTTCTTGCTCTTCTTCTCCCTGCGCTCGTCGTCGCCGTAGGCGTCCTTGCGTGCCCGGGCGCCGCTGGGCGTGATTTTGGTCGCCTCCTCGCTACGCCGCAAGAGGAAGACTACTCCAACGCAATGGGACCTGTCAGAGCTCTCGGCCTGCAGCCCCAGACATCCAGCTACTCCATGTCTTTTCCCAAATCATCCTGTGGTGCTGGGTCTTCATTTTGAAGAGACGGTCTCCGCGCTTCCTCCTTCCCTCCCTCCTTCATTCCTCCCCCCTCCTCCTACTCCCCCTCCTCCCTGCGCTTCACCCACCCAGTACAGCGCTTCGTGGCCCCATAGAGATCTCCACCGAAGGTCCCAGTGCCACCGCCCACATGCGTCATCCAGACCCATGTCGGCACACCCCTCACACGTCTCGTCGCCCCATAATGAGCTCCACCGAAGGCCCAAGTGGCACCGCCCGCATGCGTCACCCACACCCATTTCGGCATACCCTTCACACGTTTCGTGGCCTCGCAGGGCGCTCAACCGAAGGCCCCAGTGCCACCGCCCGCATGCGTCACCCACACCCATGCCGGCACACCCCTCGCACGTTTCGTGGCCCCATAGGGAGCTCCACCGAAGGCCCAAGTGGCACCGCCCGCATGCGTCACCCACAATAATTTTGGCACACCCCTCACGCGTTTCGTGGCCCCATAGGGAGCACCGAAGGGTCCAGTGCCACCGCCCGCATGCGTCACCCACGCCCATTTCGGCATACCCTTCACGTTTCGTGGCTTCGTAGGGCGCTCCACCGAAGGCCCCAGCGCCACTGCCCGCATGCGTCACCCACACCCGTTACGGCACACCCTTCACACGCTTCGTCGCCCCATAGAGAGCTCCACTGAAAGCCACAATGCCACAATGCCACCGCACGCATGCGTCACCCACACCCATGCCGGCACACCCCTCACACGTTTCGTGGCCCCATAGGGAGCTCTACCGAAGGCCCCAGTGCCACTGCCCGCATGCGTCACCCACGCTCATTTCGGCACACCCCTCACACTCTTCGTCGCCCCATAGGGAGCTCCACCGAAGGCCCCAGAGCCACCGCCCGCATGCGTCACCCACACCCATGCCGGCACACCCCTCACACGTCTCGTCGCCCCATAGGGAGCTCCACCGAAAACCACAGTGCCACTGCCCGCATGCGTCCCCCAAACCCGTGTCGGCACACCCCTCACACGTTTCGTGGCCCCATATGGAGCTACACTGTCGGCACACCCCTCACACGTTTCGTGGCCTTGTAAGGCGCTCCACCGACGGCCCCAGTGCCACCGCCCGCATGCGTCACCCCTTACGCGCTTCGTGGCCCCATAAGGAGCTCCACCGAAGGCCCCAGTGCCACTGCCCGCATGCGTCACCAGGCACCCATTCCGACGCACCCCTCAAACGTCTCGTGGCCCCATAGGGAGCTCCACCGAAGGCCACCGTGCCACCGACCGCATGCGTCCCCCACACCCATTTCGGCACACCCCTCTCACGCGCTTCGTGGCCCCATAGGGAACTCCACCGAAGGCCGCAATGCCACCGCCCACATGCGTCACCCACGCCCATGTCCGCACACCCCTCACGCGATCCGTGGCCCCATAGGGAGCTCCACCGAAGGCCCCCGTGGCTGCGTTCGCATGCGCCCACCGCACCCAATTCGGCACACCCCTCACACGTTTAGCGGCCCCATAGGGAGCTCCACCGACGGCCCCACCCGCTGCGTTCGCATGCGCCCACCGCACCTATTTCGGCACACACCTCTCACGCGCTGCGTGGCCCCATAGGGACTTCCACCGACGGCCCCAGTGGCTGCTTTCGCATGCGCCCACCCAGTACAGATTGTGGCACCCCCCTCACACGTTTCGTGGCCCTATAGGGAGCTCGTCCGAATGCGGTGCATACAACGACGGCACTCACAACTGCATATGGTTGGGTCCTTCGCCAGGCTAATTCGATGCGTGGGCACGGAGGTCTGGGCCACTTCCCCACTACTGATTTCTCGCCCCGGGTACTTTTTTGATGCTCCCGAGGCCCAGCGAGAGCCCCCAGAGGCCGAAACCGGCAACAAAAACACCCGCTCTCTAATTCCCCACATGTGGGGGTATGTTTTTTGTTTCCGGACACCCCGCGCACGAACCCACGCACATCCTCCTCCTCCTCCTCCTCCTCCTCCTCCTCCTCCTCCTCATCGTCATCATCAGCATCAGCATCAGCATCAGCATCAGCATCAGCATCAGCATCAGCATCAGCATCAGCATCAGCATCAGCATCAGCATCAGCATCAGCATCAGCATCAGCATCATCATCATCATCATCATCATCATCATCATCATCATCATCATCATCATCATCATCGCCAGCATCACCAGCATCACCATCATCATAATAATAATCGTCATTATCATCATTATCATCGTCATCGTCATCATTATCATCATCACAATCACCATCGTCATCATCACTAGCATCATCATCATCACCACCACCATAATCATCATCGTCATCAGTATCATCATCACTATCATCATCGCCATTATCATTACTAGCCTCATCATCACCACCACCACCACCACCACCATCATCATCATCATCATCATCATCATCATCATCATCATCATCATCATCATCCCCCTCTTCGTCACTCACACAATCACACACACATTCATGCTCATCATTACCATCAGCATCTTCATCATCACTCAGGCCCTCACTCTCTTCCTCCCCCACTCATCATCACCATCATCATCATCATCATCATCATCATCATCATCATCATCATCATCATCATCATCATCATTACCATCATCATCGACATCACTCCGACACTCATTTACACTCGCACACAGCACACAAACACACTTACACACTCATGCGCTCATGCATTCATCTCGAGGAAGCCTCAGGCGGGAGCCTCGCTTGTGGATGGATTGCGAGGAAGACTCAGGCGGGAGTCCCCTCTCTATGGAGTCCGCCCTGCCTGCATGTTGGCAATCGGACCGGGTCATCCGAACCCTGTAACTGTCGTCACCTTGGGGCCCCTCACGGCTGAATTCTGGAGAAGCAGGCGGGAACCTCGTTTGTGAGTGAATTGCGAGGAGATCTCAAGCGGAAGCCCCCTCCCTATAGAGCCCGCGCTTCATGTTGGCAATCGGAGCGGGTCATCCGAACCGTGTAGCTGTCGTCACTTCTGGGCCCGTCACGGCTGAATTCTGAAGAAGCCTGAGGCGGGGGCCTCGTTTGTGAGTGAATGGCGAGGAAGTCTCAGGCGGAAACCCCCTCCGTATGGAACCCGCGCTTCATGTTGGCAATCGGACCGGGTCATCCGAACCTTGTAACTGTCGTCATTTTAGGGCCCGTCACGCCTGAATTCTCAAGAAGCCTCAGGCGGGGGCCTCGTTTGTGAGTGAATTGCGATGACGACCCAAGCGGAAGCCCCATCCCTAAAGAGTCCGCGCTTCATGTTGGCAATCGGACCGGGTCATCCGAACCTTGTAGCTGTCGTCATTTTGGGGCCCGTCACGCCTGAATTCTGAAGATGCCTCAGGCAGGGGCCTCGTTTGTGAATGAAATTGCGAAAAAGACCCAAGCGGAAACCCCATCCCTGAAGAGTCCGCGCTTCATATTGGCAATCGGAACGGGTCATCCGAACCTTGTAACTGTCGTCATTTTGCGGCCCCTCACGGTTGAATTCAGAAAGAAATCGCAGGCGGGGGCCTCGTTTGTGAGTGAAGTTCAAATGGAGCCCCCCCCGTATGGAGCCGCACCTCTTGGTTGTAATCGGAGCTGGTCTTCCGAATCTTATAACTGTCGTCGCTTTTGGGCCTTTCGCGCTTGCAATTTGAAGAAGCCTCAGGCGGGGGCCTCTGTGAGCGAATTGCGAGGAAGACTCACGCGGGGACCCCCTCCCTATGGAGCCCCGTACTTCATGTGGGTAATTGGAGCGGGTCATGCGAAACTTGAGCCTGTCGCCAATTTGGGATTCCCCACCCAGCCAGGCTTGAACCTTGAAGAAGTCTCAGGCGGGGGCCTCGTCTGTGAGTGAACCGGGAGGAAGTCTCGAGCGGGAGCCCCCTCGCTATGGGGCCCGCAGCTCCATGTTGAATCCGAACAAATCTTCGGGATCTCGTAGCTGTCGTCACTGTTGGGATCCGCAAGAACGAAGGGTGATGCGAGCCCTCGCGGGCCAATCCTACCAGGGTCACTCTTGCGCTCTTACGAAGGCCACCCGCTCGGCTGAACCCAGTCCCCCGAAGCGGCGATGGCGTTACCATCGACTGCGCCAGGAGCAGTGGCGGCTGCACCTCTGCGTCATGCCCCCCCACGCCACGCGCATGCGGAACGTGCTGATCCTGCGGCCGCCCACGCGAAAATTCCTTGAGCGTGGGGCGCCGGTCCCCGCGGAAGGCGCTCCGGAAGTTCGACGGGATAGCGGACGAGCCCCAGAACCGAGGCGGAGCAGCTCGCAGCACCGCTGGGCTTCGCGACCCCCCCGCCTGAACGCGGCCGCGCCCACCTCAAGGCCCGCGGGATTGTCGTAGCGGCCTGGCCCGCGAGGTGGTCCCGACGGCCCGCCCCCGCGCCCCAACGGCCCGCGGGTTTGTTCCAGAGGCATGGCCCGCGGGATGGTCCAATAGGCTTCGCGATCTAGCCGTCAGGGAACGCGCGCGTGCTGGCCGAGGCGGCGACGGCGCCGAGGAAAGTCGACTTGCTTGCCCCGACCAGGGCGAAGGGGAGGTGCACATGAAGAAGAGGCAGGAGGAGGATGAAGAGGGGGAGGGGGTAGGGGGGGGGTGAGGATGGGGAGGAGGTGGAGAAGGAGGAGGAGGAGGAGGAGGAGGAGAAGAAGTAGGAGCAGGAGAGATATATAAGGAGGAAGAGGAAAAGAGGGCAGATCAGAGGGCGACAGGAGGGTGCCCACCAGGGTCAGGAGGAAAGGGCTGAGGGAGAGCAGACCACATTCGCATGCGGGGTCCCACCGTCGGAGCATTTTTGTTCGAAGCGTCGGATCTCTGGGACACACGCGGCGAGGCGAAAGATAGCACTGGACCAGAAGCAGTTCAAGCGGCATGAGCATACACTGCAGGAGGCCCCGCAAGCCAGCGCGGGGACGGGGCGGGCGCGAACGGTCGCCGGACAAACAGACTGGACAGATCAGGTTGCGCACGGAACGGGCACGAGGAGGAGGAGGAGGAGGAGAAGGAGAAGGAGAAGGACGAGGAGGATGATCTGCACATTGAGGAAGGAGGAGCGAATCTAATGAGGATGACGAGGAGGCCGAGGAGAAGGGAGGAGGCGGCCGCATCTGGCGCCTTGAGGCGGGCATGCTTGAGACCGTCGCGACTGCAGGAGAGGAGGCGCCATGTACCTGCCCACGCCGTGGCGCTGGAGCCACGACCCTGCAACACAGGCGCTGCGAGCACTATGCGCGGAACGAGGACAAGTGAAGCAGCAAGGACACGGACATCGCCAAGGGGGCTTGGAGCGACAGCAGGCAAGGGAGCCTTCTGCACTCCTGGCTGCGGGGCCTCCCGCTGGCTGCCCCAGAGCCTGCACGTTGCAGGGTGCGCAAGCCGAACATGCCGACGAGGAGGCGCACGCAGCAATAGGTGCCCACGGCGGAGCTCACAGCCGTGGTCGTGGGCCCTGCACCGCACGAGGGCCGCCCGATCGTGAGCGCACGTAGATGGCGCCCTCAACGCCCTCAGCCAGCTCCAGAGACCCGCGAGACACGACCATCACACCGCCAGCTTCCAGCCCTGGATCCGGGCTGCGCCAGCAGATCAAGGCGCGACCCGATGATGACGGCTACCATACGCTGGGCCAGTCGATCTCCAGCCATGTGGTAGAGCACCCAAGGGGGCAGAGGGAATGGTGCGTACATCCCTGGTGGGCCGTTACCAAGGAAGTGGTGGATCGGCATGCGAGACGGAAAGGCACAGGGCACATCGTGGCAGCAGGCGAGTCGTGCCAGCAGGGCATGTCGCCACAAGGCATGTCGTGCCAGCAGGCCCGTGACCAAATGGCGGTGGCCGTCCAGACACTGGCGACATCTACGGAGGAAGGGGCTGGACCCGTCCACCCCGACCATGCCCAAGCTGATGGAGCAGAGTTGTCCATTGCCAGCCGACTGGGAGGCAGAGCAGGGCAATGGGGGGAGCAACCCATGGTGAAAATGTGAGGGGACTCCATAGTCATTCCCCACCGCCCCGTCCCCGTTTCCCTGGAGAGACGGAAGCGGGCAGGGGAGCACAGCACATACAAGCCTGTGCTGGGGGCAAGGAGCTCCTGCAGTACGAAGCCTGGGGCGCAGATTCGAGCCAAACGGGAACGTCTTCAAATGCAACAAACAAGATCAGCGGGGAGGACGGCCTCAGAGGATGCCAGACCACTGGTGCCAGGGAGCCGATCACGCGCTAAGGATGGCCGACACCTAAGGGATGTACGGCTGCTGCTGCGGACAAGGCCCATCCTTCACGCCTGTTTGGGCTGTTCTGCACATGCGGCTCTGCCAGACAGGGAAAAAAACGGGGCTCCCGCTGGGAAGCAAGACGTAATGCCTACGGGCCTTCTCCCCCTGGCTTCTCCGCGGCTGCCGTGAGCATGTCCTCGCCAGAAGAGAAAGTGTTCCACGTCGGAAGCGGTCGCGAAGGCGAGGGCTGGGCTCGGCAGCCCATGCAGCACTCACAACGACTCGCGTGCCTGCACCCTCGTGCGCGCCATTCTCTGCACGCGGAGGCCACGGCAGCAGGGGCAGCACACAGTCATGGACAGCCTCGGCCCACACACTTCTTCCCCAAGCGGCCGAGTGGCATCACTGCAGTGAGAGCTGAAGCGGGGCACGGTTGGCGTCGATTCCACCTTGCACTGCAAATGGAGGACTGACCTCAAGCCGTACACACAAGCGGAGAGCAACGCGCGGTCCGGGCCAGCAGACACAAACAAACACACACAAACATATATTTACATATTTGTACATATATAGATACATACATGTATATGTACATATAAATATGTACATACACACACGCACGCACACATATACACACACACACGGTGTCCTGCGGCACGCCGATGGGGTGCAATCGACGGCCAACGAGCTACAGAGGTGGGGCGCGCTCAACACAAACACACACACACACACACGCACGCACGCACGCACGCACGCACGCACGCACGCACACGCACAGTTGTTATCCGACAGAGAGGGGGGGGGCCACGACCCGAGCCGCTTGGCCACCACGTGCGGTAGCGCGCGCCAGACCCACAGGCACGTAGCGCAAGAACGATGCATGGCACGGTTTGGGTGACCCAAGAGGGGGTCCAGCTGCAAGGGGGTGGTGCAATAGATTTGGGGCAAGCGTGTTGCACATGTATTGCGCTGGATAATTGTATTGCGTTGTATTGCAGGTAATGTATTGCGCGCGAAAATCCAGCAATACATCTGCGCACGGGGGTGTATTGCACACCCCAAATCTACTGCACCACCTCCTTGTCGCTGGACCCCTGTTTGGGTCAACCCAACACGCAGTTACCTCCCCAGAGTGCTGTAGTATCTAGCAACCTTCGCTTTTTGCTGCCCGTGGGGAACATGGGAACATCCAGGAAGACTGAGATTTCGGACAAATCTCATCATCATGGCCTCCTCCTCCTTCTCTGACACGCGGGCGCCGTGCCCCGTTTTTAAGAGTGCTCCCTGCCGACACGGTGCGGTCCTGCTGCTCGCCGTCGGCGGGCGTCCCGGCTCGCTCGTCGTCTTGTGCCTTTGCCTCCCGCCCCGGCGTCACGGACGCGGGCAACTGCGAGCGCCGCGGGCCACTAGGGAGGAGGAGGGTGAGGAGGAGCAAATCTTAATGCTCAAACTTCGGCATCAGAACGGGAGGGACACAAATAGAGACAGAGAGATACACCAAACAAAAACATTCGTGCACGTCGGAAATGTATTGGCAAGATGGTGAAACAAACCGTCATGGTACAAATACGGCTGTTAGGTTGTGGGACTCGGGAGGGACCTCGGAAACACATGGCTTAAGGCATCCGCATCGGCGAATGTGTAATATCATGTGCAAGGTGAGCAATCGTCAGATCAAAATGTCTAAGAACAGCGGAGTTTGACACATGGGATTAGATACTTCGTTGAGGCGGGAAGCGTCCGGACACTTACAAAAAAATTACCGCCAACAACGGCAGAAGAAACAACATGGTGTCGGAGCTGGCCAGGGAAGTCGCGTCGCTGCCAGGCTATGCAGAGCACACATCCCGCGCAGCTGCCTCGGATGTCCTCCGCCTGGGCCCATCGTCCCGCCGCTACCCAGATTGGTTTGCGGAAGAGTCTGCTCGCCCCCTTGTTCCGCAGATGTCGCAGAGTTCCACCCCGAGACTTCCCACTCTGCCCCCAGGAAAAAAAAACAATCTGCGGCGGGATTGCCGAATGCAGAGGCAAAGGCAGGGAGAAGGGGGAGGAGGAGAGGGTATTTTGAACAGGGACCGACCGTCCCGGCATTCCTATAGTCCTACCACGAAATGTTCGTAGAACCCCAAAAACACTCTAAGAACAAAAACAAGGTTCTTAGACTTTGAACCCGATGTGTTCAAACAGGACAGACTCCGCCAGAAATGTTCTCAGAACTTTTCGTGGAAACCACAAACAGTTCATAGAACACTGTTTGGTAGGGCTATAAGCGAGCCAGGACGCTTCACCACTGCTTGAGCATCGGTGGCGAAACGTGGCGAAGGATGACGAGGAGCAGGGGCGAAGCAAGGGAAGGAAAGGAAGAGGAGGACGAGGGGGCGCAGAGGAGGAGGAGGAAGAGGAGGAGGAGGAAGAAGAGGAGGAGGACTAAGTGGGTCAAGTGCTATGCGACTTAGGATCGCTCGGGAGGGTGGCCGCAGGCCTAGTCAGAGGAGTCCGAAGGGGAGGGCGGCGCGGGCGGGTCCCGTCCCAGGCAGTCCTGGGTGCGGAATCCATTGCCGTCGTGGCCGGGGTCGGGGGCGTCGCGCGCGGTCGCACGCGCACCGCGCGCAGCACGCGCGCACCCTCGGCCGACGCCGACGACGACGACGGGCCCCTCGCCTCGACACCATCCTCCCCCTACCCCTCAAGAACCTGCACGGCCTCCTTCTCAAAAAATTCAGTTGCCTCCGCAGCCTCAGCTTCTTCTCCCACGGGTGGGGTGCAAGGGGCTGCGGGGGGCTCACACTGTCTGGGCCCTGCACCGCCATCGCACTAGAACGGGCCGTCGCTGCCGCATCACGGTGCATAGCCTCGCGGACGGCCCGAGAAGGGCCCTTGTGGGAAGGATGCGAGCCTCTCTGCACACGGCTCACCACCTCCTGGCCCTTCGGCGATGGCTTAGGCGGGCAGGACTCCAACATATTCACATATCTGAAAGTGGTGTGTGAGCCACCGGCCGTACACAAAATCACTCTCCACTTGGGTATCTCGACCGAGCGGTGTGAAGGGTGCGCAGAGTGGCCGTTGAGTTCTCTCCCCCCAGCCTCCAACACCAGCGCCTCCCCCAGACGAGACAGCAGCCTAGCGACAGCGCTAGGGACTGGGAAACCGCCGTCTCGTCCGATCTGCAATCATCGACGAGCTGCGCACATCTGTCACACCGCCACTTCCCGCCGCAACGCACGAACTGGTGAGTCGAGGCCTTGAGACACAAAGCACGCGTGGAAAGGGAGCCAGCCGGGCAACTCCCACTCTCTCTCTCTCGTCTCAAAACCTTCTCGGGGCCAATGTTCTTGATAATGGCCCTCGCTCTAGTTCGGACAAGAGCCGCTGTCGCATCCCATTGGTCTGTGAACGGGACTGGCTCACAGGCAGCGGTCCATTTCTTGGCAGCACCTCTGCCCGCCCATGCATCTGTCACAATATTACCACATGCATAAAACGGGTTGGTGAAGGCCTCAGGCGTCTCATCCTGATGGGAGGGGGTCCCGTCGTTGAGCATGCGTCAAAACTGGGAGCAGGAAGAGCCGAGCTAGGATGACTCCTCTCGGGGACCCTGCCACGATCCCCATGGAGCGCATAGATAGGCTCAGCAACCCATCCACGTGTACGCAAGATCTTCGGGCTGAGGAAGAGCTGGGCCTCTAAGGGGAGACATATGGCAGAGAAGTCCTCGTCCAACCCTACTTCTATGAGGCGAGCCAGCTTCGCGTGGTCATAGAACTTGGCCAAATCCATCAACAGTGTGCCCACGGTAAGCCCCATAGTCACCGCTGACTCATCCAAGAATGCGCGATGGAGCGCCGCAGACAAGGCCGAGGATCCCGTCATCGCTGTGCACCAGAAGCCATGCACTCCGTCACTCCAGTCGTCCGAGGCTGCACCTCGAATACGGCTCCAGGTGCGAGCGATATGCGGGAGGACTCCCAGTACTCGGCCACCCCCTGCCTTCTTCGGCGCCATCGCAGCCAGAGTGGCCATCACCGGGGGGGGCCAGACACCCTCGGTCTCAATAGTGTTGAGCAGGCCAATGTACTGCTGCAGCGCTCTTCCAGGTAGTCGTAGCATGTCCCGAGGTCCGATCAGATCAAGTCCTTTGGCTTTCGCACCTCCTCGCTGAAGCATACGGCTTGTCGAGACTGGGCGGCGCTGCAGCTAGCAGAATATTACTCATACGAAAAACTTCTGCACGGGCACCAAGGACGCAAGGGCAGTTAGTTCTCCCACCATAGTCCACATAACCTCCCACCCTCAACTGGCACAGGCTTAAACCCGTGGTCAATACTGTGCTGCGTTGCAGTAACAACAGAGAGCGGCTGGGCGGTCCCGCAAGCGATGAAGCGCATCCCCTGGTGCATCGGCCAACGGGGTGGCAGCACGAGCGTGAAACACGGGCGTGCCGACCATCTTCGCACCCTCGCATCATGCAGGGCCGCGAGGGGAGGGAGGGAGGGAGGGGAGGGAAAAGGAGAGGAGGGAGGGGAGGTAGAGAGGGAAGAGGGGGGAGGGAGGGAGGGAGAAGGAAGGGGGGGAGAGAGGGAGGGGGAGGAGGGGAGGGACGAGTAGGAGTAGGAGTAGGAGTAGGAACCAGTGGCGATGCCAGTATTCGATGATTAGGCCTCTCCCCACCTCAGAAGACGGACAAGACGAGGATGACCCACAGCACGAGCCTTGCGAACAATATGATGACATGGTTGCGAACTTCACCATTGTTTCAAGTCCCTCGTAACACAACGGAGACAACCGGCGATGTAAGCCCATACGCGTTGACAACCAGAGCACCCACCACAGTTGTGCGTTGAGAAGTCAGAAACATGACAAACACAAAACACACGCACGACCGAGAACACTGATGCCAACTTATACCATACGTAACGATTGCTGCTATGATGCCCCGCCGCCGCCGATGAAATGAGTAGGATGACCAACAATATTGAGATAATACTCACACTTGAAAGTGCCAGACCTAAGCCATACCGCAAATGCCAGACGACGAACAAAAAACATGAGCCCAAAGCCTCCAGACTGTAAAACATACCCTCCCCAGGCGGAGATGGGAGATGCCTACGTGATAGCTGATGGCGCCAGGGCTTGGTTGAATGGTATTGCGCAGCTGTACTTAAAGAACAACACATTCACCACACACAGAGCTTTACTGTAGAGAGTGCAGACCGATCCGAGTAGACGTGTAGTGTCTCCTGACACCGCTGAGAACAGCGGCTGGGCGAACGGTTAGACAGGATCAACCCGAGCCTCACTGCCGAGCCACTGTCCACCCGCCAAAGGCGTTAAGTAGCTTCACAACAGCCGCCCGCGCCAGGCCACGCAGGGAATCTAAAATCCGCCGCCTGCACAATGACCAATGAGATGGTGCGCCTCCACCGCTTCCACGCCGAGTAACACTGTCGTGCCAACTTGAAATGCAAAGCTGCGAATTGACAAAACAAATGAATTAGACCGTCCAAGAACAACCACCATTGAAGTACGCCCAAAGAAGGGGGGGCTTTTGCATGGGAGAGCCCGCCGGTACCCCGCGCGCGCCGCCCCTGGGATGGACCGCGCCGAAGAAGTCCAGGAAGGAAATAAAACCCGACGAACTGAAATGCGTGACCAGCAGCATCCAATGCGGAGCCTTGACGACAGAGGAAGGTTGCAATTCACCACAATGTTTACATTTGCCCACGACCTGTAAGAAAATCCCTGTGTTGGTCGCAGGACTGGGGCTGTGACGTGGCCCTCATCCTGAGTCCCTCAAGCGCTGCGTGGAAGCCCCGAGGACTGGATCCCCCCTGCCAGTGCACCGTCTGGTACCGCCTGGCTTGGGCCCAGATTGCTTGAGGAGGGGAGGGAGGACAGGTGGGAAATGGGGAGGAGGGAGGGATGGGGGGAGGAGGAGGGGGAGGAGACGGAAATCGGAAAAAGGGAGGAGAGGGGCAGCGAGGAGGCCAAGAGGCACCCCGGGCGGGTGCTGACCCCGCGCCCTCCCCACCCCATACGCCTTCGCCCGCGCCTCAGCATCGACGTGGAATCGGCGATGCATCGCCGACAGGTAGGCGACAGGCCCCGCAGGGCGAACCCGCACGCACCTGGACCAGGTGGGCTGCCAGGCCCCCCGGCGGCGATCCAGGGGCGACGGGGGGGTCGGGGCATTCCGCCCTGGGTCGGTCCGCCCCCAGAATGGCCCCAGGCCCCCCACTCCCTGCCCATCGGTTCCCCTCCCATCGGCCACGCGCAGGACGGACCCCGTGGGCAGGAGCTGACCCTGCTGCGCGGCCTTGGCGGGGTCGCCGCGAGGCAGAGCCTAAGCGCGCTGGCCACTGCTGGGGAAACCCCTCTGAGCCCGCACCACTCCGGCGAGGTGTTACTCTTGACGCCCAGACCCCCGACGTCATGATTTTTTCGTGACGTCCACCCCCAGAAGTTTCGACCTATTCCCCGGGGCCGGTTTCTCATCCCGAGTCGTTGTTTGACGGTCCCGAGGCCCGGTAATGGCCCGCAAGGGCCGAAAATTGTGAAAAACCTCCCGTCGTGATTTTTTCGTTGCTCGAGGGGGTCTGGGCGCGTATAGCCGACTCCCGTCCCTCCCCCGCCCAGCCATCCACCGGCGGCCTTCTTCTCCTTCTTCTCCCTGCTCTCCTCGTTCGCGAGCGACTGGCCCCCTTCTTCTCCGTCGTCTCTCTTCTCCTTCCTCTCCTTCTTCGCCTCGGGCGCGGCCAGACTGCCCCCCCTTCTGCGAGGGCCCCCCTCCGTGGCGGCTTCCCCGCCACGGCCCGAGGCAACAAGTAGTGTATGTGGGCAACTGGCCGAATATGGCCGAATCAGGGAGCCTCGAGGGCGAGCAGAGGAGGGGTCGGCCTGCCATGTGGGGGGCAGATCAATTTAGGTTTATGTCGGGCGTGTCCCCCTACATAATGGTTTTCGACGAAAAATTAAAAATACTCCAACAATGCCCCAAAAAGGTAAAAACAAACAAAAATACTCAAAAATAGTCCCCAGACTATTGTTGGACTATTCTTTGATTGTTTCTGAGGTATGTTCTATTTTTCGTCGAAAATTCCCCTGTAGGGGGACAGGTCCGACTTAAAGATAGGCCGCCCCTGCGTCGCCTTCTTCTCCTTCTTCTCCTTCTTCTCCTTGGGCGCCCTGGGACTCGAGGGGCTGTCATAATGGCGGTCCTCCGGACTGGGAGTCCTCGGAGTGTCGTTTAACGGATCCCCATCCCCAGCGGCGTGGCCTGGGCCCCACTGGTCGATTTACCCCCCCTAGATGGGGAAACAGGTCGTCCCCTTCGGGCTTCGAGGGGTGTATCCCCAACTGGGGTGGTGATTCGGTGGGGGCCTCGAAGGGGATGGGGATGGGCACTGATTCAACGATGCCGATCCTCGCCCGGCCGTCATCGGGCCCGGGCGTCCTCGCCCGGGGGCCCGAGGCCGCCGCGAACTCGCGGCTCCTGCTGGCCTCTCTGCGCAGACTCCGGCGGGGGCTCCGGCCCCCGGCTGCCCGGTCTGGGCTCACCGCCGGGCTCTGGTCGCCCCTGTCCTTCCTCTCGCGGTTCGCCCCCCGCGGCGAGGGCGCGTAGCCTCTTCTCTCTGTGTCCTCCGGGCAATAGAGGACAGAAAATCCACCCCGGAAATGACCGCCCCGACACGCGAAGCCGCTGTGAGTAAACGCACCCAAAGAAGGACTCAAGCTGGGCAAGGCTGCTTGGTAAACGCCCATGGGCCGTTTAGAAACCTCGGGAGCGGCCAAAAGGGGGGTGTCCAAGAGGGGGGGGTGCAGATCATGACCGGCGGCATATGCGCGGCCCGGCGGGGGGGCCAGGGACGTAATGAAATAAGAAGAGGCGCCATGAAATCTGGGGAAATATCATGGCCCACGCCATGATATCCACCCCTCCCTAGTCATCACCCCCCTCTTTGCCGCCCCCCGAAAACCGCCAGCTGTCCGGTGCTTCCTTCCTCGAGGCGGGCCCCCGCAAGACAGGGGCACCGTCGGATGGCCGGCGCCCGAAACCCCCTTATGGGCACGCGCTCGCCTCCCTGGGTTTTTTCCCAACCATCCTGTGGTGTTGGGTCCTCGTTTTGAAGAGACAGCGCCCCGCGTTCACTCCTCCTCCTCCCGCTGCCCCCTCCCTCCTGCCATCATCATCATCATCACCATCATCATCGTCGTCATCATCATCATCGTCATCATCATCATTATCATCATCATTATCATCATCATTCCTCTCCTCTCCTCTCCTCTCCTCTTCTCCTCTCCTCTTCACCCACCCAGTACAATGTTTCGTGGCTCCATAGGGAGCTCCACCGAAGGCCCCAGTGCCCGCGCCCGCATGCGTCACCCACACCCATTTCGGCACACCCCTCACACGTTTCGTGGCTCCATAGGGAGCTCCACCGAAGGCCCCAGTGCCCGCGCCCGCATGCGTCACCCACACCCATTTCGGCACACCCCTCACACGTTTCGTGGCTGCATAGGGAGCTCCACCGAAGGCCCCAGTGCCCGCGCCCGCATGCGTCACCCACACCCATTTCGGCACACCCCTCACACGTTTCGTGGCTCCATAGGGAGCTCCACCGAAGGCCCCAGTGCCCGCGCCCGCATGCGTCACCCACACCCATTTCGGCACACCCCTCACACGTTTCGTGGCTCCATAGGGAGCTCCACCGAAGGCCCCAGTGCCCGCGCCCGCATGCGTCACCCACACCCATTTCGGCACACCCCTCACACGTTTCGTGGCTCCATAGGGAGCTCCACCGAAGGCCCCAGTGCCCGCGCCCCGCATGCGTCACCCACACCCATTTCGGCACACCCCTCACACGCTTCGTGGCCCCACTCCACGTTTCGGCTCACACGGCTCCATAGGGAGCTCCACCGAAGGCCCCAGTGCCCGCGCCCGCATGCGTCACCCACACCCATTTCGGCACACCCCTCACACGTTTCGTGGCTCCATAGGGAGCTCCACCGAAGGCCCCAGTGCCCGCGCCCGCATGCGTCACCCACACCCATTTCGGCACACCCCTCACACGTTTCGTGGCTCCATAGGGAGCTCCACCGAAGGCCCCAGTGCCCGCGCCCGCATGCGTCACCCACACCATTTCGGCACACCCCTCACACGTTTCGTGGCTCCATAGGGAGCTCCACCGAAGGCCCCAGTGCCCGCGCCCACATGCGTCACCCACACCCATTTCGGCACACCCCTCACACGTTTCGTGGCCCCATAGGGAGCTCCACCGAAGGCCCCAGTGCCCGCGCCCGCATGCGTCACCCACACCCATTTCGGCACACCCCTCACACGTTTCGTGGCCCCATAGGGAGCTCCACCGAAGGCCCCAGTGGCGGCGCTCACATGCGCATGCGTCCCGCACACCCATTTCGGTTCATCCCTGACAGGTTTTGTGGCCCCATCATCCACCGGAGGCCCCAGTGGCGGCGCTCACATGCGTCACCCACACCCACCCAATTCGGCACACCCCTCACACGTTTCGTGGCCCCATAGGGAGCTCCACCGAAGGCCCCAGCGGCCGCGCTCACATGCGTCCCCGCCACCCATCCCGGCACGCCCCTCACAACAACAGGTTTCGTGGCCCCATAGGGAGCTCCACCGAAGGCCCCAGTGGCACCGCCCGCATGCGTCACCACCCGCACCCAATTCGGCACACCCCTCACACGTTTCGTGGCCCCATAGAGAGCTGCACCGAAGGCCCCAGTGGCGGCGCTCACATGCGTCCCCGCCACACATCCCAGTACACCCCTCACGCGCTTCGTGGCCCCATAGGGAGCTCCACCGAAGGCCCCAGTAGCGGCGCTTACATGCGTCTCCGCCACCCATCCCGGCCCCCCCCCCCGCAGCAGCATCATGTTTCGGGGACCCATAGGGAGCTCCACTGGAGGCCCCAGTGGCGGCCCGCACATGCGTTTCCGCCACCCATGTCGGCACGCCCCGCGCGTGTTTCATGTCCCCATAGGGAGCTTCGCCGAATGCCCCAGTGGCACCCATCTCGGCACACCCCTCACACGTTCCGTAATCCTATGGGGAGTTCCATTGAAGATGAAACCCGCAGCTGCGGTACTGACAACTGCATATGGTTGGGTTCTTCGCCAGGCTAATTTTGTGTGCTGCCTCCGCTTACCAGCCTCGAACTAATCCATGTCCTTAAGATTGACACGCCAAAAGGCGATGACAATCTTAGGGGTGCGCCCTCAAAACATAAGGGGATCCCTGAGATTGGCATTGTGATGAGGCGATGCCCAGCTTTGGGACAGGGATATGTTCCAGGCTGGCAATCCGCGGGCTGCCGCCGCCCTTGCGCCCGCGGGGCCGCCCTCGCTCCACGTCTGACGCCTCCCGCTGGCCTTCGGCCAGCCACCGCCGAGAGGCCATGCAGGCGCCAGCCCCCTCCGGCGGCGAGGCCACTGCTGGAGCGCCATATGGCGGTGGCTCTGCCTCCGGGGATGCGGCTCGTGGGGCCGACGTGTGCGGCGTCCGCGCGCGTGCCCGTCCCTGTTTGGGGGGGGCCCCGGTCCTCGTCGAGGGACGGGCTGCGGCCGCGGGCTCTCCGCTCCTTCTTCTCCTTCTTCTCCTTCTTGTCCTTCTTGTCCTGCCCCGCTGGCCGCCAGGGGTCTCAGCAACCCTGCCCCAGCCACGATCTGATTTGTCACGAGCCTCTAAGTGTCCAGCAGCATGCGGCCCCCACGGCGAGCACCACATCACATACGTGAACACCGCTAGTTTCCTGAGACAAAACCAGCTCGTTGGAATTACTTCGGCTGACCCGTGTGGGACATTTACTACTGTGATCCTGAAAGCGTCCATGGTGGTGGAGTTCACTTCAGGAAACAAAAAAAACGAAACGGTCCATTCTCGCATTCGTCAAATTCATTCCCGCCAGGGTCCTCCGATCACAATCCATGCAGATTGTCAAGTTCCGACACCAGAGAGGCTCAGAAAAATGCGGACGGGTATGCGGGGATCGCCTAGATTGCCAGCGTGGTGGGAGCAGCTGCTGGAAACGCTGAAACCAAAAAGTACCGATACCGCTACTCCCCGGACCTCTCCCGGGGAACTTTCTGACGAGGATTTCGAGGCGAATCCAGCTGTGGCGACGAGGGCTCCCCAGGAGGCCCAAAAAGGGGAAAACTGATGAAGGGTAGAGGGTGTGGGAACCCTTTTTCCTCCTCCGAGTTCTGTAGATGTCAGCAGGGGGCTGCAGAACTCGTGGAGCGGCATCAGAGAGCACATGCTGCTGCTTTGAAGTGCATGGTGAGCTTTTTTTATTCGGCGTTTCGACCGTGGGCGGACAAAGGGGGGGAGGGGGGGGGGTCTGGCTCCAGACCGCTGCTTTAGTGCGACTGCTTGTAAGAGTGCGGCCTCTGGGGGAGACACCACCTGCTCGAAGCAAGCGCCAAAAAACTGCCAAGATCTACTCCGGTGGGGGGGTGGGTGGGGGGGGGGGGGCGCGCCGATCGGCAAAACCATATACAAAAGAACAATCACAGGTCCGCCGTCGTGCCCCCCTGGCACACTGAGGCGCGGCAGGCTGCCAAGTGCTGCCTGGTGGGGGTTCTGTAGGCCATCCTCCTCCCCCCTCCTCCCTCCTCCTCCTCCTCCTCCTCCTCCTCCTCCTCCTCCTTCTCCTCGTCCTCCTCCTCCTCCTCCTCGTCCTCCTCCTCCTCCCCTCCTCGTCCTCCTCCTCCTCCTCCTCGTCCTCCTCCTCCTCCTGTTTCGTGCTTCCTGATGGCCTGAGGGATTCACGATCTAGGCCCTCCTCCTCCCTCCTCCTTCTCGTCCTCTTCCTCCTCCTCCTCCTCCTCCTCCTCCTGCTGTCTACTGCATTCATGATGCTCAGGTTAACTTCCAAGACAACCCAGGCAGGCCACCAGGGCCGCCGAGACGGCCCAATATGCTGTCAAGACCACCCAGGAGGGCTCCAAGAGAAGAGGAACCCCACTCCAAAGGGCCAGAAGAGGCCCAAATCAGATGCTGATATGCCGCTTGAAAATCGATCGCGCCCCCATCTTGCCGAACTTCTGTCAGCCCTAGTCTGTCCAAACGGCTCCAAAGAAGGCCTGAAGACGGCCCAGGGGGTGTTCACGATGGCCCGAGATGCCTCCAAGACGGCACCCAGATGACCCAAGAGATCCCCAAAACGACCCTTCAGGGCCCTAAAGGACCCCAAGACGGTCCAGAGAAGCTCCCACGGCGGAACCCGACGGCGCCGGACTGCCAAAGACCGCCCGAACACGGCACAAGGAACGCCAAAAAGCCTACGGGAGGCCCCCAGGACGACCCCAAGAGGCTCCTGAGGCAGCCAGGAACCCCCAAGAGAGGAGGAGCGAAGAGGACATGAGAAAACAACGACGAACACGAGCAGAGACACCGCGACACGACGCGGGTGTCGCACGTTACGGCTCCCCCAAGCCTCGGGGCACGAGGTGTCCCACGTTAAGACTTCATGCGCGCTCCTTGGGCGGGAACGGCGGCGGGACATGCCGCAGGCAGCTGGATAGACGCCACGCGTGTAGGATGAGGTCGGGCATGTCCCCCTTCAGGGGAACTTTCGATGACAACTCTAAAGACTGTCAAGAGATGCCTCCAAATGGTCAAAAATAGCCGAAAAATCGTCCCCAGACTATTCTTGGACTATTTTGGAAGATCCCCCTGTATGGGGGACAGGCCCCACTTACCTGTAGGAGGGAGGAGGGGGGAGCCAGGGAGGAGAAGCACAGGAGAGGGAGGCGGCAGCTGGCGCTCTATAGCAGCTATCGCAGCCCGTTGCAAGCCCCGCCCCCCCCCCCCGCCCCCATGGTGACGTTAGGTCGGGCATGTCCTCCTACAGGGCGATCTTGGACGAAAAATTTTAAAAAGTCCCAAAGTACTCCCAAATGGCCACAAATCGTAAAAAAGAACTCCTCCCCGGACTATGCTTTGACTACTCTTGAATAGCCCTCCTGCGGAGGGATACGCCCGACTCAACTCTAGCAGCAAGCAGCCCGTTACAGGTTCCGCCCCCCCCCACCCCCCATGGGAACGTCACGATTCGCGCCCGCGCCAGCTGGGAACCAACTCTTTCTCAACATTCCCAGATCGCGCCGGCGCGAATCGTGACATTACCGGCCCCCTCCCCCGCCCCCTCGTCACGGGCGTTGCTCCAAGGGGATGTTCACTGGCCTCGTACTCAGCACGAGAAACCGACACAGGAGGGCAGAGAAACATAAATATGCAGGAAGGAAGAGGGGGACGCATGGCCAGGGGCGAAGCACGTTTATACCTCTGGCGAAACTGGCCTGACCATCGGGGGGACAAGAAAAAAGCGAGGGGCAGGAGGGGAGGAAGTGTCGCCTCGTCCTCTCCTTCTTCGTCGCCCTCGTTCCCATCCCATTCTCCTGCTCCTGCTCCGCCTCCTCGTGCTGCGTCTCTAAAACCCTTCGAGTAATCCCGAAAAAACCTTCGCATGCATATGGAAACCTTTGGACACCTTCAAAAACCGGTGCCTCCTCCCGAGGGTGATATCTTATCCTGCTCCGATCCACACCCCCTGCCTGGCGAGCGGAGCGCGCCATGGGACGGCGCTGGAGGCGCCACCGAGTGTGGCGGGAAGGGGGGCCGTGCGCCAGGCCAAGAGATCCGCTCGGATCTGCATGCCGTTTGGTGTGGTCCTCCTCCTCCTCCTCCTCCTCCTCCTGCTGATGCTCGTCATCCTTCTCATCTTCCGCCTCCTCCTCCTCCTCCTGCCCGACGCCACCGAATTGCACAGAGGCCACGGCGGGGCACTGCGTCAAAAAGAGGACGGCACGATGAGTACTGCGAGGAAGGAGTGACGGCCGCGCACCCCCGGCGCAAGTCCCATTCTCGTGAGTGCTGGTGAAGTGCCGCGCACGCCTGGGTGGTAGGCACATCTCCTCCTCCTCCTTGCGCCGCCACGCCCTTTGCACTTTTTCTCTGCCAGCCAGTCGTGTGTCACGCCTTGAGTCGCCTCCGCAGCATCAGGTGTCGAGCGGATGCTGAAGAATGATGGGACCGCACGTCCTCACCTGATGCATCACTTGCCCGCTTCGTGCTGAAATATGGCTGCTGAACCTTTTGCGGCCTCCGCGTGCCTTCAATATGCACCTACTGACAGCATGTGGCATATTCGAGCTTGTCACAGTGAGACAAGCCGAACGCTCAAGATGTTCATTCACATCCCATCGATTGCAAGTTCCGAGCAGCGATGATCTCGTTCGTGTCCTTGCTGTCGTGCTCGGTGGGCGCAATGGACTTTCACTGTGGATGTCAATCAATACTCCAGGTCCTCAAGGTGCACCTCTTTCGGCATGAGGGTACACCTCAAATTGTCGATACTTTTCCATGAATGCAGGAAACACTGTGAGTATAACTATGGCATAGGTCCTGCTTGACAACATCGAGACAGTCAAAGTCTCTGTGAACATGAACAGAAGGTTGCCCAACCAAATCACGTTCGACACTGAGCTTGCTCCATTCATTCGGAAAATGTGGGATGTATTTCCCGTGGTTGCGTTGGACTAGGACTATCTATGGTACCTATACAACCACCTTTTTCTGGTGATCAGGAGGTTCAGGAGGGGGAGGAACCAACCTCTCGCTCAATCGATCCCAGAACCGACCTCGATCTCACAACCGATCTCACAACTGGACCGATCTCACTATCGAGCCCACTGTCAATCCCACTATCGATCTCAATCGATCTCACTATCCCTCTCACGATCTATCTACCAATCGATCTCACTATCGATGTTACTATCGATCTTGCAATCCCTGCCCATATCTGTCTCACACCGATCTATCGATCTCACGGTCGATCTCACTACGGGACACCGACGGGACACCACAGCGGGACACCCCGAGCAACCGCCCGCGGACAACGACGGGAGACCAAAGTGGGGTACCACGGCGGGACACCACGGCGGGACGCACCCGGCCACGCCGGCCCACTCGAGGGGCGTTTGGTTTGTCTTTGTTGTCTTGGCCCACCCTAGCCGGCGATTGCATGGCATCGTCTCCAGAAGCATCGATCTGCGACGCTGAATCACCCGGACCGTGGAATATTGTACTGTGCTCTTGCGCGGTATGTCTCTGCCACGTCTGTCTATACAACCACGCTTCGAGTGATAAGGAGGTTGAGGGGGAAAAAGAACCAATTGCTGGTGAATACGATGGATGTTATGATGACGATGCTGGTGACGCGCCCTCGAGTTAGCGACGACGCGTGAAAACGATGTTGCGCTGCGATGTAATGCCACTATGGCCTCCTCTTTCGATCTCACTCAATCGATCCAACCATCGACTTCAAAGGATCGATCAAACTCAATCGATTCCACTATAGATTTCACGATCGATCCCACTATAGATATCACTATAGATCTCACTATAGATCCTTCGATCTAACTTCCAACGTCACCATCGAGTCCTCTATCGATCTCGCTACCGATCTGACGATCGATCTCACAACCAATGTCACAATCAACATCGCTGTCGATCTCAATTCAGATCTCGTTACCCGTCCCATTCTAGCGATCTCATCATCGATCTTACTGTCGACCATACTAGCGATACCAAGGCGGGACACCCCCGGCCACCGCCCGCCCACCGCCGACGGACACCAACGGGGCACCAACGGGGCAACACAGGACACCACAGCGGGACACCCCCGGCCACCGCGCGCCCACGGGGGGCGGAGGGGCGGTCAACTGCATCCGAGTCGCCCGAGCGACGGCGGGGTCACTCCTCTTGCGCGCCCACACAGCTTCACCTCGCCCGCACGAGAGACACGAACACGAAACCAAAGCCGACTTCCCAGTGGGGGACTCTCCGTTCCACTGCGACCTCACCCCTCAACTTCCGATTAATCTACCTCTTGCTGTGCTTGATGGCCATGAGATCGTACGGTCTGACAGTGTTTCCTCGGAGTCGCATTTGGGGAAGCGCTTCAATTCTGCTGGGCAGCAGCGGCAACGACCATGCATTGGGTTCGCAGCGCAAGCGCCCAATGATTAGATTGAGAGGGCGACTTTCTAAGTCGACACCTTCAAGACCTGGCGATGTAGTGACGACGGGCGCGTTAGTGCCTGAAGACACTCGGCACTCAAAACGTACACTTTCGATATCAATGTGCACGCGCCCTGTTTGACGGAGGGGCCGTTTGTGCATGGAGGTGGTGTGTAAGAGCCGTAGCTGGCATGGACTGTGGCAGGTGGGCAGTGCAGGTGGGCGGAAAAGGACGGCGTGCAGGTAGGCAGTGGGACAGGCCAACTGCGAGCTTGCTTGTTTGAGGCTACGGTCAGCCAGCCTGTTCTAGACCGCTGATTGAGGTGCCGTGCGAAAATGCATGGGTGAGGTCTGGCATACCCAGTGCCGCCTCGTGAATGCGACGTTCTGTACTTCTGGTCAACGTATCTCGCAGTCGAGTTTTGGGAGATGCAATGCCCTCCTCATGATTCTCGTTTCCCTGGCTTTACCCGACTCCGAAGGTATGTCGTCGATTTGCACGAGTATGTACCGCCGCTTGTTCTGGCCACCTTGCCAAAACGGGTCCTGATGGAAACGGGTCCCAAACCCGGGGACGTTCCTGGGACTGGCTTTCAAGCCTGCAGACACTCGCCATCGCTCGGACGTCCATTCCCTGTGTGTTTTTTGGGTTTCGTGCGTGGTTTTTTCGCCAAATGATCAAGGATGCTCCTCGATGGCCCTCGCCGAAGGAAAAAGGCACACGTCCGAGCGATGCCAAGGACATTGGTGTGTTCGACGATCTCGGGGCCCCTGGGTGGGGGCCTGCTGGGGCCCGGGAGCCCGAACGCGGCGACGAGCCTGCCTGCAGGACCCCCGCTTCTGCAGGCAGCCTATGCGGTCAGAGCCTGTTGCGCAGCGTGCCGCGGCGGCGGCCCTGGGTGGCACGATGTACCCTGCACGCGGCTAATGCGTCGCTCCGAGTCGTGGGACGGGAGGCGGAGAAAGGCTCGGGATGTCGACGCGTGGGGACCAGGACGTGGTCAGCGTGTCGCGCCGAAGCGAGGTGGGCCAGGGGCAGCAGAACGACACGCTGATCAAACGCTCATGACTGTCATCGTCTCTGCATCTCATCCTTCCCCATATCTCTCTCTCTCTCTCTCGCGCGAGCGCCCTCGGGCGGGCCCAATTCGCTGCTGTCAAGAGGCCCCTCCATCCCCCACTCCTCAATCCTCCTGCTGCTGCTGCTCCTCCTCCTCCTCCTTCCTCCTCCTCCTCCTCCTCCTCCTCCTCCTCCTCCTCCTCCTGCTCCTCCTCCTCCTGCGTTCCCACGTGGCCCTCGTTCTCCTCGTGGTCCTCCTCCTCCTCTTCGCTCCTTTCCCCGCCACACTTGCTGATATGATCCTCTCTTCCTCATTCCTCACCCCAACTCCCCCCCCCGCTTAACCATCCTACTCGATCCCCCATGTTCCTCGTGCTCGTCAACCTGGCTGCCCTTCTGCCACTCCTGCTCCTGCGTCCTGCGGCCGCCGCATCTCCTCCTCCTCCTCTCCTCATCCTCCTCCTCCTCATCCTCCTCCTCCTCCCTCCTCCTCTCCTCTCCTCCTCTCTTCATCCTCCTCCTCCTCCTCCTCCCCTCCCTCCTCCTCCTCCTCCTCCTCCCCCCTCCTCCTCCTCCTCCTCCTCCTCCTCCTCCTCCTCCTCCTCCTCCCCCGCCTCCTTTGTTGCTGGAGGGGCACAAAAAGGTACCGACACCGCTGCTCCCCGGAACTCTCCTGGGGTGCTCTCGTCGCTCCTCCTGGCTCCTCCGCTCTCGATCCTCCGCGCGCGCCCCCCCCCGTCGGGGGGGACAAGAGGGTGCCGATACCACCACGTACTCCCTGGACCTCTCCTGTGTGGGGGGGGGCATCCTGGCACCAGCCCCGAGGAGAATCCAGCCGTGGTGACGAGACGAAGGCTCTCCAGGGGGAGCGGCGGCGCCGCTAGTTACACCCTTCCCCCCCCCCTGTGATGTCCCGGTTCCCCGCCCGGCTGCACGCAAGAGCGATCCTGGGTGAGAGTGACCTCTGGCGCGCGGCATAAAGAGGGGGCGCGGGGGGCCAACTCCCCGCGCGCAAGCCGCTGGGCGTCGCAGCGCGTCCAGTGGACGGGAGACCCCACCGGGCCCGCACTCAAGGTCCCTGCGGCGAAGGGTCACCCCTACGTGTAGCCGACCCTCGTTGAGCAGGGACCGACCGTCCCGGCATTCCTACATAGGCCTACTACGAAATGTTCTTAGAGCCAAAAACTGTTCGAATAACAGAAACAATACTCTTAGAACATACACCCGATGTGTCAAAACTAGACAGTCCCAGCCAGACTTGTTCCAAGAACATCCCTTGGAAACCACAACAACAATTACTTAGAACACCCCTTGGTGGGCCGATGGGCGCGCCAGGACGCTCCGCCACTGCTTGACCACGAGCCACGCCCATCCCGGAGCTACATGGGCGATTTCGGACACCCTGCACCCAAAAGCGCTTTCATCTCTTGGGGACACATATTTTGCTTCCGCCGCCCTCCGCCGAGCTTCCGCCGAGCTTCCGCCGGCCTCGCTTCACTCCCGCCGCCCTCCCGCCGAGGAAGAGATGGCGACTCCTTCGACCCCCGACGGCGAGAGGCCCCGTCTGGAACGCCTCCCGCGGGCCGCACGAGCGGCGAGCGATCCGGCGGACGACCCGCTGCCCGCACGGTGCGCGCGCCCGCGCCAGGCCCCCGCGCACGGGCCCGCCGGTGCCCGCCTTCTTGGGCCTGTCGTCGTCCTCGGCGGGCTGGAGGGCGGGACGGCGCGGGGGCGCGCCCTCCCCTCCTGCCTCCTTCGCCGCCCCGTCCCCCCCCCGACTGCCCTGCTCCACCTTCCTTCTCCTGCTCCCTCCCCCTCCTCCCTCCTGAGTCGAAAGTGAGCCTGGTAACTCAAATAGCATCCGATTCCATGGGAAGCGGATGGCAAATAGCGTCCGGTATCGTACTGAGGTGGTTCAGTAAGAGGAATGGACGGATAAGATAGGATAAGATCGATGTAATGATCTTTCCAGCACATAGCGAACACTCGCGGTGTCCGGGCAAATAGGGCGCGCGTGCCTTGAGCCAAAGGCAACGGCGCGCGAGCTATGCTCCCGATACTATAGCATCTCCCAAAGAACTACCCTTAAAGTCGGGAGGGGAGGAGACGGAGAGCATAGCCGCGCAGCCGTTAGGCTCTACAAAGGCCGCGCGCACGACTGTTTGCAAGAACGAAAACAGTGTGTACAGTCTGGCCTAACACCAGACTGTAAGGCGAGTTTCCTCGCAAGGCATTTCGCGCAAATACAAGATAGCCCCTTCGAACGATGAAGGGCTATCGGTTCAGTTAGAGGTAAGCCAAACGGGCCATACCTCACCGAGCAAATATGTATTAAGGCAAAGAGCCTGAGTCATATAAAGCCGGCTCGTTGCCAGGCGTGAAATGTAAGGCTCGTTTCCGAGCAACTAGAAGGGCGCCTCTGTAGTAGGCGCCCATGCTGGCAAATTGGACCGCGGGGGGGCAACAAGGACATACTAAAATTGATTAGATGTGGGTTTGTTTCTGTCCTCGGGACCCCGAAAGGGAACAAACTGCTTCACGTCATACTTGAATGGCTGAGTGCCTGACATCACTTCCAGAAGCAGCTCCCGATCGATGCTTCCCTTTGTATGCCCATCTGCGGTCATATCCCTAGTATCACACCACTGCACGTTATGTACTATACCTATATCCATGAGCTCACGTATCCAACTGATATGTCCAAGCAGAGTCCGCTCTGTCGGTATCTTAAGATCCTTGCTTGATAATGATTTATAAACGGACTCAGCGTCTATGGTAAGAGATACTTTGATGGCTAGGCCTCCAACTTCACGCATATCTCGTAGTTGTCGTGGAGTCAGAGCTCCTGCCTTGAGCTCGTGGAGAGTGATGAGCGTAGGGTAACGCTCATCGAGGTTATGCGCCGCTGCGAGTGCCTCCGCAGCATAGCTGGACCTCACCTGCAGTCGGTGTGATTTGCATAGTCCGTCACAGAGGTGGACAACGGACTTGCCTTGAGGCGAGTTTCCTCGCCGTAGTGCATCAGCCCCGCGTATGCCGTAGCCCTTGGTCTCATCCTCCTCCTCCCCGGTAAGCTTCCGATGCCCCGAATCGCTGTGGATGTCAACTTCATTCGTCGGCTTCATCCGAGGGAAGGTGATGCGTTTCGGGCTGCTGATCAGCTTTCGCGTCACAGCAGTCAGGCGTCTGACTTGCAGATTGGCGGGCTCTTGGATTTTCTGGAGAGAGACCACGTATACCATGAGTCAGATTTGAATAAGAAGGGCATAGGCGAGGGCTCCTCGCAAGCTGACGAACATGTCGGTAATGAGTTTCGTGGCTTTGGCATAGGCCGCCGCTCCTGTAAGTTCTGGGTGTGTGATAGGACGTAGATGTATGATATACTCGTCCTGATCCATGATCACATCCCCCTGATCATTCTTAGTGTAGCGAACGGCGCAGTTCGTATATGTGTGTTTGTTGAGCTTGCATTTGCCAAACACCTTTTCGACGCGCTGTACATAGTCGTCTATATTTTTCTCTAGGCCAGTCATGTTAATATCATCGACATGTTCTGCCGTTAGCAGATCTTGGCTGAATTCAAATTCAGGGTCATAACTGGTCGGTGCAAGGCCCATAGCTCGTGTGGTCGTACGAAGTTTGAGAGAGAACGCTCTTGGAGCGTCCTTTGTACCCGTTCCCGGTTTGAGGCACCTGAGGCAGTGTCGGCTTTCGTCATAGGATGAGAAGCCGGGTAGTGTACGAAGTACCTGGGCACTTCCCGGTGGAAGAGCGAAGCAGACCATGCGAGTTTCCTCGCCGGTGGCATGGGCAAGTTCCTCATAGGTCAAGCCCTTGAGGAACGCCTTGTCGATATCCATGGATGCTAAGATCCACTCTGGATGGCATGCCGCCTCACTTGCCAGGGGTCGTTGGGATTGCCTTCGGGCGGTTCCCGAGAATGTTTCTACGTCGAAAGCCTCAGTATCCATAAATCCACGAAGGACAAGTCTGAGACGAATGGTTTTAACGTTCAGGGTACCCACCTTTACAAACTTCCACTTGTATACATACCTGAATGTCATGATGTTGGAAGCTTTTGATAAATCATACATCTCAAAGCATCGGCTGTCAATCCAGATTTTGAGTTCAGTATACAAAGCTTCACTAACCTCCTTTGGATGTGCTGCTATGTCGGCTTTGGCCAATAGATCGTCTTCTTTAACGACCACAGCACGTTTAGCAGCAGAGGATACATATACTCTCATCGTTGCGACCATATCGGTGTCGAGCTGTGCAAGTTGAATCTGATCCAACACTACTTTTGACATTTCTGATGTAAAACATAACTCAACGTAAGGACCATATTCATCACTGTCAAGAGAGTAGCTCTCGTCAGGTGTGGTTGAGCAGAGAGAGACTAGACAGGGCTCTCGTGGTTCAGGCTCGTCTCCGAGCGTGTCCGATGATATGATAGCTTCTTCGTCCACAGATGCTGAAACCAAAACACATTGGTCAGACAGCATGGTGGTTGGGACGCAGTAGAGATAATCGTCGGTAGTCGTCGTAGGATGAAGGTCCATACGTAGCTCGTCGTACCACTCTTCCAGCATCATAGCTTCGATATTATGTTCCTCATTTTCCTCATAGATTGTCGACAGACGGCCTTCACTCGGCGATGAAGCACCAGGGGTGTCTGGAGGAGGCCTGTTTCCAGGCGGATCGTGTTCTCCAGACGTGTTGCTTGAGTGCTGATATTTAGCCAGGTCGTCGTGAAATCCTAAGGAAGGGACACGTGAAGTCAAGCATTGAATAAGTCTGGAATGAGTGCTACCAGTGATCTGAGAAATGTTTAGGCCGGTGCCCACACATTCGTAGTAGTGGAAAGCCGGGCTGATATCGTTGTCATAGTGGATCAGCGTAGACCCGGTGGCGCACTTTACTGCAGGTAGGCTTGACACACTTTTGGCCAATCTAACTGCTACTACATGCTCTACTCGGAAGTAGTTTCGCACGAGATACTGTAGTGCTAGATGTACGCGTGGGTGAAACTTGCTGTCGTCTGAAAGATTGAGGTTTCCCTTGTAATCGGGGATATAACCGAAAACTTTGGCAGGTTTCCCTGCGCCGAGATGTGCCACATATGTGAGGACGGTTTGCATGGCCATATTATCCATGCCAAGTTCCCGTGTGAGGAGACATTCAATGTATAGTGTGTGACGAGCATCAGGATACATCACAATTACCTCACGAGATCCTGCCTTGACAACAATATGTCCTCTTTCAGGCACATTACGGATCACCGGGAATGGGCCATTCCAGCCTCCATGGTCGTCCTTAGTGGCAGTGGGTCGGTGGTAATCGACCAAATCCCCTGCATAATAAAGGCGAGCACCATCAGGAGTCGTTTTAGCCCTAAGAGCCCGATTTGTCTTGGCCACAGCAGTGGCCTGAGTTATGGCTTCTAGGCTGACTTCCCTCACACGACGTTCTCGTTCGTGTCCTGAAGTTTCGGGTCCCTTGGGAAAGTCAAGGGTGTCGAGATCAGGGAGAAAGGAGGGCTGACGTCCTGTGTGTGCTTGGTATGGCGATACTCCGTTATAAAACGTAAAAGCATTAGTAACGAAGATGCCTTCCGCCAGTACTCTAGTGAATACAACAGGGATGTTGTGTCTATTCAATTCTTCCTCAATCATGTGGAGGACGCCTCTGAGAATGCCGCTTCGTGACTCAATTGAAGTCGCGTGTTGGCCAGGTGCTCGGATACGAAGTTCCGTGCCCTTATTGGCCATCATGGCTTTAGCGGCATCATTGTTCAGGGCGCCTTCTCCGTCTGAGTATAAGACTTTGAAGGGTCCGTGATAGGCAATCCAGCAGTAGTGGTAGGCGTCAAGGATAGCGTCACGTTCTCTGTCGGAAATTTCTAGGCCTGCTGCCAGGCGAATGCAACGATCCATACTGTGAAATATGGTCCGTTTCTTGTAGAACATGAGGTCCATTTCGCCTTCGTCGAGCCAGTTACCGGGAAGGCTCACCGAGGGTAGTGTTGAGTTTCCTGGACGTTCCCATGCTCTGCATTCTCGACAGGTGTCGCAAACTTCCTTGATCATGTTCAGTCGAACGTTATCCAGCCCCACTTTGTCGAGGATTAGCATCATCTTAGGTTCCTTCGCATGATGCCATCGCAGATGCAGTTTTCGGAGTTCCTTTTTCACGACATGAGGTTCGTGACTACGGAGACTTTGTAGACTGTGTTGGATGTCGAATCTCGTCCAGTCGGGTAGTCGTGGAGCCCCAGAGCCGGTAGAGGCAAGAGGGTTCCTTGTAGCTCTTCGTAGTTGGTCCCCTGCATTGACTGCATCTGGAGGTGGTGGTACGCCTTGTAGGCGGCCGCGACGGGCCGCTACCTGTGGCGCTTCGCTGGAGGACGCGGAAGGCGTGTTTCCACGCTCGGGGGCGTCTCGTAGCATGTCGTAACTGCTGGCACCAGATGTCGGATCGACGTTACCGAAGGATCGTGGTCGCGGTGGCCTGGCGTGTGCGCCTTGGCGGCCACCTGAAGCTGAAGCTTGGCCCTCACCAGGTTTAGGTGAGGGTTTCCACCAAGCTGGCACGGTTTTGCCTTCGGGGTCGTGGTCGTCTGGAAGTTTAAATGGTTCAGCAAAACGACATTTACCAGGTTCGGTATCGAGGTGGTTCTTAACACCCTTGCTTCTCGTA